AAATTAGGAAAAACAACTTTAATAAATGAATAAGTGATAAATAATACAATGCATTACTACATCAGCCCCCCAGAAGCAATAATATGGCAAAAAACGAGGAAAAATAAAGAAATCTATCGACCTCTGCTAAGATTTCTCACGAGCGCTTCGGCCAAGTCGGTAAGAAAATAGCCAGTTGATAGGCAAGGAATGATAGGTTAAAATGATTGTGGCTGCCAAACCAGTTTAAGACAACAGGTAAAAATAGATTTTATAGAAAAAGAAGTTACGACAGAGAATTTGATAAAATGCACGAACATAAGTAGGAATTTCCAATGGTATGGAGACATACCAATCAATATAAATGGGGATGCTTGAAAAGAATAAAAACCGGCGGGATAACAAGTTTATGGATGATGGGACAAGGCGAATAAATACGGACAAGACCAAAAATGAATGACCTCGTATTTAAAAAATTTCCGAGATAATGGCTAAAATAGAACTCGAAAACCTAGAACAAATGCAAGAGGCAAGCTTTCACAATAAGCAGCATGGTGCTCTGAGCTTGAGATAAATATAAAAGCCACCGATTAATTGGGGCATATTATGCTAGGAATGACCAACTTATGAATGAATTTTTGTGTGTTCTGAGATCGGCCAATAAAACTTTTTGCATTTTTAGAAAGTAGGAACGATTTGGTGAAAAGCATATGAAGAGTCTGACGGACAAGAGGAATTCAGTAAGTCACGCCACCAAAGGAAGTCTGAGTATTATGAGGAGGTTGCTGAGGGATGACCACACCCGTTGGAGGCGGCATATATCCCACATTGCTGCCTATGGGACCGGGCTGAATAGTGGTTGTATGGGATGAAGAATACTGGGCATAAGATGGAGCTGTCTGATGCATAGGCTCGGTACTGGCAGTTTCATCATAATCATCCTCCATCTAAATAGAAAAGTTGAGGTGAATGTGACATGCATAATAAGAAGTAAGATAATCTAAAGGAATTAGTCAGCACTACTTAGGCGAGTAGCGATTATTACCAAATATTAACACGAAAATTAGTTAACGTAATGGCTCGAAGATAACATGGCTAGAAATCAAAGCTACTATTCAAAATTGATAACTTACGTTCAAATTTGTAAATTCCTCAGCTTGCGCCTCAGGGACATGTGGTTTGAATTTTCCACAACAGAAGTTAAAGCAGCAGCAGCAGCAGAAACAAAAGTAACACCCGGTAAGGAGACCACACAAAAGAAATAGTGCCTAGAAAAAAAATTTTTTAAGGAAAATAACAGGAGAATAAATAGACTAAAGGGAAAGATCCATACCTTGCATTTTTTACTGCTCAGAATGAAATACGTATGAACATTTTCCTCGCCGAATTGCTCCGCAATGGAAAGGCCCAAACTTCCATATCTGTCATAAATTGTCCTCTTAGTGGAATCGGTAAGAATTTGGTAGGCCCTATTGACCTCTTTAAACTAGAAATGGTAGTAAAAATTATAGATTATCTACATAATAGTGAAAGGAAATGAAATAGAGAACTCACAATATCAGCAGCCGCAGGATTATCAGGATTTTTGTCGGGATGAAACCTCAAGGCAAGCTATATGACATAATAAAATAATTAGTGTCAGATTTATTTACAGGAAGCTATAGTCAAAGCGTGTCCACTCATA